GCTCGGGATAATAGATGTCTGTCGACAATGAAGTCGATACCGCCATCTTCTAGCAAAGACGACTTATCCGTTGTAAACAGGAAAAAATGAGTGGAATATTTAAAGCAGTTATTCTTTGACGAAAAACAATGGGGTTCAGGGGTTAAAAATCAAGAATAATTCACTTCCGTCTTGCAACGGATCTGACATATCTAACCGGAAGTGCATTCTTCAGCCCAGCGCAAGGAAGCAAGGAAGATAGTCTGACTAGGAAGATCGTAATTCAGTAACCAAAAGACGGGTCAAATGACATTCAATGGAACTTCACACTGTGATTAAAACAAATCGCCTAGTAAAATGGACATAATACGAGTATTTAAGCAAGCATTTTGAACTCACACAAAATCATTTTTGAAAGTAATTTCTTCCGTAATCTTCATATTATGTTTCAAATTTTAGTTCACACAATAAAAACAAGTTTTATAATGTTAAAATAAAGTTAAAACGACTACATAATGCTTAAAAAGTCGTATTTTAGTTACATGTTCTCGACAACTGTTACAAGTATTATAGTGTGTGCTGTAAAACTCCGCAATAAGAAATTCAGCGATGCAAGATGTGAAGAAACGAAACACAACTGCAGTTTTTACTGAATGGCAATTTGCAGCATGCAAACTACAGTGTTAGCATTCATGGTATGAAATAATACTGCATCGCGTCAACTAATGTACACAGGAAACTGGAAATTTTAATTTCACTAGCAAACGTGTACGCTTCCTAATCTAAGATTTCTTGTAAAATATAAAAAAGGGATATATGTGTGTCCTAATAATACTTGTGGGGGGACTGGTTATAAAAGAGGGACTGCCCGAGCAAAGCGGGACTGTCCCAGCCAAAACTGGAAGTATGTACTCCAAAGACGCATGCCAGTCAATAGCACAGAGAGAGAAACAGTCGAGGTTACCACACCCACTCCGTATTCACGAGGCCACGGCTTGCGATGAACGCCGGTAGAACGTGTATCCGTGTATCCTGACACATGCTTTCGCATTACTTCCTCTAAAGTATTTCAGTATACTTTAAAATAGACCTTGGTTGCCTGTATCCACGTCTGACATTATCACATCCCGCACACTGTTTCTCGCTCGATGTTACGTAACCCAACATTTGAGACAATGTTGTAAAGTAAACCGAGACACCCAAACGGGCCCCAAGGGGTTTGAATATAATTAATGGGTCGTAAACTTCATTTAACAAAATACACTCGATATATATTTTTTGCTTAGAATGAACGATACTATGATCTCCCGGAATACTGGTCGTTCCTCCTGGGACATTGTGCATGAAAGTACACGATAAAAAGTACGTTCCAAGGATCATGTATGGGATCGCACAGCCTGTTGGGACCTCGAATTTGCGACCCCTTCCGCCTTTCAGCTTATCTATTTTCATACAATTCAAAGCTATGAGCTATGAAGCATATATACGCGTAGTAAGCAAGGTTACTCAGCTCACGAGACGCATTTTTGTCCGTCTGCAAGTGCCACTATGCGTTGTCATTTCTGCCACAAAGCCAGGACACGAAAAATAAAGCTTATGAAATCACTGTTAATTGTGTTTGCCTGGTTGCTCCTACCTTTTCCCCTCTCTTTTCACCTTTTTTTCTTAGCAAGACGTCTGTTCGGAATATGCTTCAGCTCTACATATGTTGCCTTTCTCATGCTGTGCCAGTTGGCAGTTCACTTTCTCATTTCTATACATGGAAAGTTGCTCTTTCCTTGGGAATTTTGTTCTTTCCATGTGGAGAAGTGGGTCACGAAGAACGCCAGCTTGTCGTATTGTGCTGAAACTGGCCGACCATAAGCTATATCAATAACCGAAATAAGAACAGCGCTAGTTCAGGTCTGTAATAATTTCCTCGCATTGACTATTAAACCCTTAGGTCGCTGTAATATTGAAGCTGTTCTACACACCTACAATAAGATGAATTTTACGTATTTGATAACTGAAGAATTGTTTTGAAATTTGGTTATATTCATTATGCTAGCTATTTAAGGTTAAAACAAATTTGTCCCTGTGCTTAACTAATTAAGCACTAGGCCATAAAGGCGTATTGGGTAGTGGACGTATAGAGCCACATTTTCTTGACCTCATTAATAGTTGGAGGTAAATGGTCAGCTTCAGGCCCCGGCGGAAGTCAATGTTCATAGAAATTACTTTGGAAACCGTTCTACTTAAAAAAATACAAAACTGCGCAATATTTTTCTTATGTAGAGAGAGGATATTCAAATGTTAATGAAAACAAATAATTTATTTGTAATGAAGGTTCAAATTATTATGAAATGTGAGGCTTAGTTGTCGAAAAATAATAGCTGCAGTTTGTAACTTAGCTTCAAAGTAGGGAACTGCCACAATAATAGAACTTTCGCAGAAAAATGTCCTCTTCCAAACACTCCGAATACTGAACTGAAGAACACCTGAAATTTTCTGAAAAGTTGACGGTAGAACTCATGAGGGGAGTGGGAGATATTTAGGAAAATAAAGGATCATCTTTGTAGTTAACCATTTCCTTAGGGCTTTACCTACTCTGAGAAGGCGAGTACCTGTTTACCAATACTTGGAATTCCCAGATCTAGGTACAATAGATTCTGTCCCTTTTAAGTAAGGCACACAAAAAAAGGATATTGAGTTATTGTGTTATTATATGTACTGACCATTTGGTATTTTTTTCTTTTTATATTGTTAATAATTTTATTTCAGAACCGAAGTTTTCTTGGCCCACTTAATATTCTCCATGGCCTTCCATTTTTCAGACTTCTGCCCCTGGACCCTCCTGAAATAAGGCATTGACCCCTGGGGGCCCATATGGCTGCCGTTGAGAGCGACTGGTCTAGGATGTTGATATGAATTCTGTCGGTCCGAGAGTTCAGAAATGCATTAACATGCTGCGTCACAAAGATTTTGGTATGAATGTACTCGAGTAGACATCTGCAGAACGTTCACCGCAGGAGGATCGATACTGCCCGGGTCTAAAACTGTTGTGCTACACATGTTCCTCTGGGGGAGGGGACAACTGACAGTATAGGGAACCCCGTCGGTAGGAAAACAATTTCAAATTTTGAAAGATGGATAACGTTTCAGAATCCGTAATACTCGTACAATATCTTTTATTCAGGCTATTTATCATTTCTATGCCAATTATTTTGTTTAATTGTCTCTGTTGTTTCTACTTATACAGTCCAATAAAAACTTTAATTTCGTTATATATTTCTTTGAACAGCTTCATACAGCCTTGTATGTAATTAATTATAAGAAATTACTTACAGTACCTTAGGAGCCGGGATAGCATAGTCGGACGACCGAGGGCTCGGAGTTCGAGTCCCTGTAGGGTCAAGAATTTTCACTTCTCCAATCGTTCAGACCGGCTCTGGGGTCCACCCAACCTCCTATACAATCGGTACAGGGCGTAAAACGGCCGGGGCGTGACGCTGACAACTCACCTCCAACTAGTGTAGAGGTCAAGAAAATGTGGATCTATACATCCACTCCCCTATAGGCCTTCATGGTGTAGTGCTTAATTAGTTCAGCACAAGGACAACTTTACCTTACCTTACAGTACCTTAAATACTTATACGTGTAAGTACTTATACGTAAGTACCGTAACATGACGCTCAAATTCATATCATATTTCTTCAATTTCGTTGTCTGAAAACTGCTTAACTGTCTTGAGACAGATTTTCTTTCGAATAATACTATATTTTTACATTTAACGTCGTCCGGTAGAAGTTCACTGACGTTTCGGAACAAAGCAGATTAACTTCTACCGGACTACGCAGAGTTACTTCCAGCACTGTGCATAAGTCGCCGCTCGGAGAACCTCAAATCCATCATATAATCATTTTGACTGAAACAATCACACAGATTTGGGCAGAAGGCGATTCATCCCGTGTGCAGCACGGTAAGAATTGTTGGTGTCTGATGATATATGGTTTGTTTGAAAATTACATGTACATGTCAATACTCTATCAAGTACGTAGCCATTCAGATACAGTAACAAGCCACCTGCTTTTCAGGTTATTCAATGGCGCAGCTAAAAACTTCTGTAAATTGGAGGTTCAAGTTTCTTCAGTGTCCTTCGAGGAAGACTGTTTCATCTCTACTCATTAATTGACGAAAGAAGAAACTGTAAATTAAAATAATTATGGAATTAAAGTTTGTAATAATGTGAACAGTTGCACACGCGGTAGAGTAGCTGGTTGAGGCACTATGCTACAAGCCGGGAGGTCGCGGGTTCGATTCCCGATGGGATCATTGGATTTTTCTTTTCAATTTATCTAATCCTTCCATCCGCACTATGCCCCTGGGATCGACTAGGCCTCTAACAGAAATGAGCACTAAGAATCTTCCTGGGGGTACCTGTGCGCCGATTC